ACTATTCTGCTGTGAAATAGAATATAGGTGGGTGTTATTGGTTAGATATCTTTTTTCGCGTCTATCAATTAGAAATTAGAGATGGCTATCGCAGGTAGTTCTTGTGTAGCTTTGTGCGAATATCCAAAATAAACAATTTGCATTTGACACTAGATCTCTCAAAAATGGCATGACAACTGGGAGCATTTTATGACAGATAAAAACAGGTTTCTTGTAGCATTAGAAACTTAGTCTCGCAGAGTGGTTTCACTCAATTTACTTTTGTTTCCAGTAAGGTTTTTCGCAATGCTGCTTTTCAAAGCCTAAATTCACTAAGTAGACTATTTCACAAGGGTACACGCATGAGAAATCATTATTGATATTTTCTTATGTTGAATATCAGAGAAGTTGGAGAGTAAAAAGTTTAATGCATGATTGTTACAATAGATGTAAAATTAAAGAAGCTGTGTTTCTTGAGTACCTCTTGGTACTTTTCTGGCATATCGTAATCATTTGTTTCTAGGAGTTATAAAAAAAAGTGTACCTATTAGAGAGTGTCTAATATTGTCTGTGAGAGTCCTTAAATTATTATAGCTACAACAATGATCAAACATAAAAGGTCTTCCCTGTATTTTGATTCGTCCATTTCTACAACTTTTAGTTTAGTTAACACTTTAAGTGTCAAATCATTTGTTGTCTCAATTGCTAAAAACTTGTAAAAAGTGTTATTTTTCGCCTCATTCATTGTCTTTCCTATAGTAATATCTTCACAATACTTAATTGTATATCTTTTAGTAATTTTTCCTAATTAACGCAACATTCTTTGAAGGTGAATTTAACTGATTTACGAGCACACTATCAACACCATCAACACTGTAAGCAAGAATAATAAGACAAAATTAAATGGAACAAAGACTTTTACACTAGAAATTGTCATAGCTCGAGTTACCTCTTGTGTTGTTTTAAAAGTGCAACTACCTTGTTCTGCACCTGAAAGGCTGGAACATACCCAGCAAATTCAAAGGTGTTGGCCTTATAGGCAAAGTCACACACACAAGAAATATCAGTTAGTTTATTAGGTTAATATATATCAATGTTCACCATAAAATTCCATTGACTGCTTAGAAAGAAAGGATTGAAAAGTCCTTCCAGCTAATCGGTATATAACAATTCCTAGCAATCATCAACAATGATATGAACCATCAATATTCAAGAGGTACATCTAATAACCTCAGTTATCCTCGCAGCAATAATAAAATATCTAATACAAATTATCTTGCAGATATTTCACCTTGAAACTCCGCTTGATACTTCAGAAGGAAAGGATCACAACATATTTTGAGTTGTTGATCTCATAAACATCCAGATTACACATTACACAAACGTCCTAAATCTTGGAATCCATCAAATAACAGTCTGTTTTGTTTCATTTGTATGTTTCTTGTGAAGCACAAAGCTACACAGTGGTCTATCTGTGCTCCGCCCACCACAAGTATCGAAACCCGGTTTTTAGCATTATAAAGCTTTAGAATTACTGCTGAAGCGCTAGGGAGCAATAACAATCTGCACCATAGAAACACTACATCACTGTACTAAATAACTCAGAACGTAAAAACTGCCAGATTCTTTCAGTTATTCATGAGATCCCTAACTATGTAGTCAATTGGCTAGTATACTAAATATCCAATAGCTATTGTGATACCTCACGGATTACTAACAAAGCAGAAGAGTTAGGCCTACTAATAACTGGAGATTTTCGGCTCTCGGACTTGGATGTATATTTCCCAATGAGCTGTGACAGTTAAATCATAAAGAAACAGAAGAGACATAGGTTTATACAAAGAACAAATATTTAATAATTCACAGTTAACACAACAATACAATACAATGATCATTTGATCGTGTGTGCTTTAAAGCTTTAAATAGAAAGTATGGGACCAACAAGGACTAATGAAGAATTTGATAGAAAAATACTCCCGCTGGCCCACGTGCTCCACTCGTAAGATAGTGTGGGTAAAATGAAACCACTAAATAAAATAAACCCAAGTTATGTTAAGATATTCTCACTTTAATCTATGTAAATATGCTAGAACTATGAAATCCAAGTCCTTACTTCACATAAAAACGACTCTAGCAACATTTCACTAACTATGCTTCACATTTAAAATGAAGCAAACTCTAAAACTCGTTCACATATGGCGAACATAGGCAACTCTTAAATCAAATGACGAAAACCTTATGGCGATCGTGAAAGTAAACAATGAAGCTAAACTTCTTTCATAGAAAGTGAACGCTTATCACAACATGAGAACTTTAGGAGCTCCCCTGAAATAAAATGAAAGAAAAGATACGAACTTGCAGAAACATACAGTTCTAATGTGAGAACTTTGAGAGTTCTCACTATGTTAAAAAAGAGGAAAATATCAGCTTCTGTTGAACAGGTTAATGGAATAAAACACACACACACACATACGAAAATTTCCGCAAATCAATGTAAGTCTGTATAAAGTATCTAATTCTTGAAAACAATATGTTTAGTTCTGTAAATATTTATTTTCCCAAGCCTCAACACTGTCTTAAATACGTCAATAAACCCTCTAGTTCCTGACACAAGAAAACTGAATGTTGCGTGGTGAAGACCAAGGACAAGTCCACTTGCAACTATTTTTTGATTCACCAACAGGAATAACTCTGGTCACTAATTAAAAATGGCGTTGTTATTCCTGTAAAAAATATCACGCAAATAGGCTTTTTAATCTTCACTTAATCTAGTTTGCCCCTTAAGGAAAGCAAAAGCTAGCAACTTACTTGGGCACCACTGTGTTCGATCTGGGAAATTATGAAAGACAAACGACAGCATATTTTTGAAAACTTTACATTTTAAATAAAGAGGTGGAAAACAAATAATACATCCCCATAGTACAGTATTTTATTTGGAAACTCCACTCAACAGCTTGTACAACAAGGAGAACGAATTCCTATAACTTTTCTACCTACTAGCAACTTTCAATTTAAACCATATTGATTTGTAGGACAACCTTCCTAACAGTTGACAATTTTAGTTTCAGCTCTTTCTCTTCTGACTCACCATGAAAGGCCAAAAAGGCACATGGGGTATCTTCCTCACCATCAGCCAGGTTAACATCATATGAAATAGCAATAGCAATCATACTGTCCTCATTCTCACCAACGTTTGATTATTAGTCAACGTTTATC